CCATCATTTAATATTTGTAAAGCACATGAAGGCTTTTAACTTAAAACTAGCTGACCTAAGCTTTTCGTTTCTTTTCATAGCTTCAATTAAAAGCCACTTTAGGCTAATGTCATTGCAGCACAAGCTTCAATATTTGACGTCGATTTTAAAAGCTAAACAATTTCCATCAGTCACATTATTTATGTCCATTTGGCACTGTGCACATTTTCTATGCAAATGCGGCCGACAAATGCCCAAAAGGCACGCCCACAACCGCAGCAGGAAAACGGATGCCAAAAAAAAAAAAACAACTTTTTTTTTTATGCAAATACAAGAGAAACCCACAGGAGGCAAAGAAAAAAAAACTGCATTGGAATATGGCTGCAGGATACTTTTAGCCACAGACACGGACACCCACACAGTCAGAGGGGGGAGGAGAGCGAACAGGGGGGAGGGGGGGGGGGGCGGTTGCTGGGGCACCTCATCGGCCGAGCTGGGCAATGAGTTTTTGAGCTAAAAGTTGAATTGTGCAACAAACAGACTCTCGCTCGCTCTCTCTCTCTCTCTCTCCCTCTCTCTCCCTCCCTCCCTCCATCTCTCTCGCTCTCTCCCACTCGCTGCGTGTGTTCGCTTTCGACTGTCTGTGTGGTATGCACTTGTCTAGACGTTGGCTAGACAGTGTAAAACCAAAAAAAAAAACAAAAAAATAAAAATAACAGAAATACAAGCCAACAACAATTACAGCAAAAATGCCAGCGACAAAACGAAACGAATTGCAGCACATTTGCCATATAGCGAGTGTGCACCGTACCCGCGCCCGACCCCGATCCGTACCCGACCCGTGCCCGTATCCGTATCCACTGTGGACCTGGACAGCGACAAATTTTTGGACAAATTTTGCACACAAAGCCAGTGCTGACAACATTTAAAAACTAGCTGAATTCAAGAAAGAACGGCTATTGAATTCCCTTCTAGAGATATGGATAATGGGCTTGCAGATATGTGAAGAGAATGATGAAGCTCATAACTGTTGAGTTCAAGGATCAGAGTTTGAAGAAGACAGACATGAGAACAGAAAAATTGTCCATTTTTTTCGATCGATGTTTCCTGTAGGGATTTATGATATGGCATTTCAATGTTGATAATATATAGGAAGATTAGGGAAGCTAATAAATGGTGAAGACATCTTAAGGAACAGAACAATTTTCCATACCAAAACACATTTATCGACCGATTTTTCCTATAGAGAATATATGGTTAACATATGTATAAGTCCGTTTGAGTTTGAGCTGAGTTCAAGCAAGTTATCTTAATAAACAAAAAAGTTTGCCATACAAGAACCTCATTTGAAACCGATTGTTCCTATGGCTGCTATATATATATTAGTAGTCCGATCCGGCTGAATCTGATATTTGTACTGCCTGCAACAGTAGATGGATAGTAGAAGTATCATGACAATAGCTTTTCAGCTGAGAGACAACTTTGCATGATTCAGACAGACGGACAAAGCTATAGACTAAGTTGTTGATCAAGTATATATTTATATATATCTTACTAGCAGGCATAACCCGGCCTTGCCCGTGGCGAGTATGTTAAAAATCAACGTTCTCAAAAAGCCTTGAAAATGATTTTGAAACTTATCGGACGGTAAACAAACATACAAATGTTTTCCGCCAATTAACCAATGTTGCGAGTGGAATTTCCCAAATCACTGAAACACGTATTCATTATATTCTTATGTAGAGCTTTGAAAATCAGTTTGGAGCAAATCGGACACAACTTAAAACTTCGCACAACAAATCTTTGCTTCGCATTCCACCCGAAAAAGTTTGGATTCTGCGAAAAGTGTAAAACACGTCTCAAATGATTTTTCTTATGGATCTTTGGAAACGAATTTAAGCGCGAAACGTCACCCACCAAATCTTTGACCTCCATTTCCACCAAGGAGGAGCGGATTTTTCCTAAAAGTGTGAAACACCCCTCAAATGAATTTGAACAAAGATCTTTGAAAATAAGTTTGAGGCCGATCGGATGGTAAATAAAAAAGTTACATACGAACGTTTTTCGTGATTTTTCCACACTTGCGGGTGGAATTTCCCGAAACCCCGTCTTAACGTGCACCTACATCACATAAGGTAGCTACAGTGAAAATTTCAGCTTCCTATCTCTTTCGGTTTTGGCTGTGCGTTGATCACCAATCAGTCAGTCAGTCAGTCAGTCAGGACAAACAGTTTTATATATAGAGATGGGCATGTCAAAAACGAGCTAAGTTTCAGCTGCTAAATTTAGCTAGAAAATAGCTGAATAGGCAACATGGTACAAGTCGTGTGCTTAAAAACTCAGTTTATTAACATGAAGAACAACAGTTTTTCTATATCTTTTCGCATTTACAACTTAACTAGAGACTACTGTAGGGCTGTCGTTTTACGCGGCGCCGAACTTCTTGCGCTGATAGGGCGGCGGCAGCGGTGCCAGCAGATTCTTGGTCTGCACGCCTACGGTGACCAGCTCCTTGGCGCCGAGCCGGCACACCTGCAACAGATGCTGCAAGAAAAGCAAAGGGGAAGGGTTTAATAGAGCTCAGTTAGATTTGTGCAATGTTTAGTTTACCTGACGATTGAAGCGCACCTTCAAGCGATAGCTCTTCAGTTTGGCTGTCTCGTGCGCATCGCTGCCGGACTTGCTCAGCCGCTTGGCCTTTGTCTGGGGCGCGTGGAGCGTGTGGTCCTCCGGCTGATGGCTCTCCAGCACATACAGATGCACCTCATCATAGACCATGACTATGTTTGGATTCTGTGCATCGAGCATTAGGCCGCGAATGCTATGCAAATGCGCATTGGGCACAAAATGCTCTGCGGTCTCGCAGACAAAGCGACGCTCCTGGAGATCATAGTCCACAATACGTCCATCCGCATAGGCAACGACCAGACGCGAACTGCTCTCGTGCATGGCCAGCGCCGTGGTTCCAGCCTTATAGCGCGGCAAATTGAGTAGATGCTTGGCCTTTTTGCCACGCAGCTGCCAGACGGCAATTAAATGATTTGTGGCAGCCACCACCAGATATTTGCCACACGGCGACACCTCCACCAGGCTAATTGGCGTCTTAATCTCAGGGCTCAAATCGTGGCTGTATAGGAAATTCACCTGCTCCTCCTCCTCCTGCAGACTAAAACAGCGCAATTGTCGACTCGGCGCGTGTATGAGCCACAGCTGCTGCGGCTGTGTCTTGAAGAAGCCAATAAAGCTGGCTGGCTCCAGTTCGGCGGGCAAATCCGTTGTCAGGCGCTGCAGGCCAAGCGGCTCTCGCTGCACTCGACTTAGACGCAGCTCCTGGGCCGTGGAATAGCATATCCAGTTGCCGTCCGGCGAAATGGCCGCAGCCTGTATAAACTTGTGGGCGGCAACGTTTAGCTGCAGCAGCTTCTCGGGCGTATGCTCCAGCTGCAGCTGCTCCGAGCTGCCCAAGCCGAGTTGTTGACGCTCGCCGGGCCGTGGCACGCCCAAGCGCCACAGATCCAAGCTCTGCGGATAGCGCAGCAGCAGTAAATTGCCGCTGGGCGCCAGGCTGGCGGATTTACCCTGCAGATAGGGCGCATATTTGGCCACATAGGCGCGCGTCTTGGTGCTGGACGAGATGCACAACAGGCCATCCTGGCCGCCAGACACAATGCGATCGCCTATCACCAGCAGCGCCTTGACATAATGGCTGTGCACCTCGCGCTGCAGAAACTTGATCCAGCGCTCGCAAACGGAATCTTCGCGCTTGATTTGCGTTTTGCTCAGGACACGTATCAGGGGTGGTTTCATGCCGCTGCACACCAGACGATCCTCCTCCTCGTTGACCGCCAAGGCGAACACATTGCGATCGAGCACTTTGCACGACTCCAGCTGCGTCGCATTTGCGCCATTCCACACGGTCACATAGCCAGCGGAATCGCCAGCAATGATCGTATTGTCGCTGAGCACCTGCAGCGAATAGACAATCACATGCCTGTCGGACAGTGTCATCGTGTGCAGTGTATGGCCCTTGGCCACGCTCCAGATGCGCACGGCACCCATTGTGCCGGTGACCAGGCGCTTGCCCGGCTTGTCGAACTTGCAGCAGAGCACACGTCCATCCTGCTTGCTGAACAACAGCTTGTAGTTGATCTCGTCCTGTTCAATACTCATGATGTTAATGTGTCCCTCCTCGGAACCGACAGCTAGCTCCGTTTCGGCGCTGTTCACGTCCAGGCACCACAGCGCATTGCCCGTGGGCGACTGTTCGCGACGTGGTTGCAGCGTATTCAAGTCCCATTCGATCAGTTTGCCCGTCAGATCCACCGAGAAGAGGCGCTTGCTCGCCCAGGCCAGGCTCTCCACCTGCGATTCGGGGGTTAGTTGTATAACGCGTTCCAGAAATGGCGCGTAGTGCATGTTCCACAGCTCAATGGAGCCATCCTCGCTGTGAATCAAGTGCAAATAATACTAATTATTATTATTTCATAAGTAAATTAAATTTTCACTAACCGGCTGAGCGCGAGGCATTTGAGCACTTTGCTGTACGCCAAACAGACAATGCCGCGTGGCTTGATTGTATAGAAGCGTACATTGTGCACTTGGGCGGTGCCCCCGGATTTATCGGGCACGTCTGCTTTCATTGTAAAACTCGTTGATATTTTAGTTTTACTTTAAAAAAATACACATTCGCACGTGCGTCGAGCGCGTTGTGGTACTTGCTGCTATTGGCGTTGCCAGACTGCGTCAATCACGATGTAAACAATGCCGTTCACAGCGCGGGCAAACGATAGTTATTGCTATCGATATGCACAGTGGGTCACAATGCAGTTAAACTAGTTCACATTTAACTGACTAATTGTGCGATGATTTAAATTTTTGTGTTTTAAAATACAATTATGACACTTTGCCATATTTAAATGAATATAGCACGAGCGAAGTTGTTAATTATTCTTAAACCAGTGCTGGACCATTCACAATATCAATTGCAATCGATATTTGCAGCAATTCACAATTAAACTAGCTCACAATTGAACTAAACAATAGAATATGGGGGTGGCTTTTTGTGGTTTTTAGAAAAAATTTACGATTTGCTAATTTAATTATATTGATGACAATGTGCCAAGTGTAAATAAACGTACGAAATTATGCAATAACACTAATTGCACAGCAGTAACAGCAGCAACAACATCAACAACAACAGCAGCAGCAGCAAAATGTCCGCATCATTCTGGAGCTTGTGTCTGGCATTGTTGTTTCTGCTGGTGCTCGGCACACCGGCCATATCCTCGCGTGTCCTGGAGCTGAGCGATCGCTTCATCGATGTACGCCACGAGGGCCAATGGCTAGTCATGTTCTATGCCCCTTGGTGCGGCTATTGCAAGAAAACGGAGCCGATCTTTGCGCTCATCGCGCAGGCTCTGCACGCGACCAACGTGCGTGTGGGCAGGCTGGATTGCACCAAATATCCGGCGGCAGCCAGAGAATTCAAGGTGCGCGGCTATCCGACCATCATGTTCATCAAGGGCAACATGGAGTTCGTTTACAATGGGGATCGCAGCAAGGACGAGCTGGTCGACTATGCGCTGCGCATGTCCGGGCCGCCCGTGCAGCTGGTCACGCGCACGGATAGCGTCGATATGCTGAAGGGTTCGCACACGATCTTCTTTATGTTTGTCGGGCCGCAGCAGGGCATTGTGTGGGACACATACTATGCCGCCGCCGAGGGCTATCAGGAGCACGGTTTCTTCTATGCGACCAGCGAGGATATTGCCGCACAGCATTTCGACTTTGAGCAATTGCCCGCGGTGATTGTCTACAAGGAGGAACAGCATCATTTCTATCCGCACGGTCATGTGGCGCACGAAATGGATCCGAACGATGTCAATGAAACCATTTTCCAGTGGGTCAATGTGGAGCGATTTACGCTCTTTCCGAAGGTGACGCGTTTCAATATCCATCAGCTGCTCAAGACCAAAAAGTTCTTGGTGCTCGCCGTCGTCACGGAGGACAAACTCAGCCAGATAGCCACACATGAGCTGGAGTTCCGTGACATGGTTGAGGGCGTCATACGCAAGCATCGTCCGCGCTATCATGATAAATTCCAGTTCGGCTGGGTGAGCACATCCCTAACACAATCCGTAACACAATTCGTTTTCAACTGCTTTAAATATCTCCACTCAGATTGGCGAACCGTCGATAGCACATTCGATTATCTTGGACCAATTGCCCACGCCCCATTTGATAGCGTTGAACTCGACGACGCAGCATCATTATATACCCGAGGACGATCCGCTGCAGATGACGCCGCAGGCTCTGCACCTGTTCCTCGAGTCCATCAGCAATGAGAGCGCCACAGTCTACGGCGGCGACACCTATTTTGTGCGCTGCAATCGGGCGCTCTTCGAGCTGAAGCGCTCCCTGCGCGAGATGTGGCGCGGCAATCCCGTGCTAATGACCGTCATCTTTGGCCTGCCGCTGGGCTTTCTATCGCTGATCATGTACTCCATTTTCTGTGGCGACTGTCTGGTCACCGAGGAGGAGCAGGACGAGGATCACGAGAAGAAGGAGTAGAAATTCATTTCACTCTCGCGCGATTCTCACAATGTACTTTTCGTAATGTACTTTTGCATATAGCCAAAATCTAGTCTTAATTTAAACGACATAAACTACATTTTGCTTTTAGATATTCCGATTCGTGATTTCGTTGTCGATTCGAATTCTTCATCTGTCTGTTTTTTTGATTTGTATGTATTCATGTCGCCTATACTTCGCGATTTTTTAGAGATTTTGTAGTAGCTTTATACACTTGCTGAAAGTATTATAACTTTGTCAAGAAGTATATTATTCTAGATAAGTCTTGTCTGTCTCATATTTATCTTTATAAAACATTTCAAAGTATTGTCTTTTTGTCAGCCGGATCGAGCCATTATATCACACAGCTGTTATGGATAATTGAGAAACTTTTTGATTTTAGAATAACGAGCTTCGCTTTTCTAACATATGTCTGAGCGAAATTTGATCAATATCGGAAGACAATTGGCAAAATTACATGTAAAGCTCTTTAGAATTTCAAGACATTTTGTAAAGCTTAGTAACTAGATGTTTTATTATGAGGAGTAACTAATTTGAAGTCGAATTTCTATAGTATATAACTCTATTAGAAGCTAATGATTGAATAGTTTTCTGCTTTTATGAATAACTCTTCGATTTCCAAGACTTCCTTACCAAACTCATCAGTTCAACTGCATCCAATATCTCTCTGATAGAAACCTATAGACATCCCACATCCTGAGACAAGTCGATATATTGTTTAATAAACATTAGTTGATAATTTAGTAGAATCTGTAAAGCACGTTTGTTTCGACTTCTATTCGGTTGTGTACACGGAAAACTTAAGTTAGGTTTTAGTTGATTGTAGATCCCAGCCAGATAAATCAGCAGCCATAGTCCTCGTCGTCATCGCTGTCTATGGCCGCACGGCGACGATCGTACTTGACGGTGGATTTACTCTGTGGCATTTGTGCGTTGACGCTCTCCAGGATGCTCACGAATTGGGCGTCGTCCAGTTTGCCGCGCACCTGGCCCATTTGGGCCATGCGTATGACCATGTTCTCAAACATTTGCGCCTTGTCCGGTTTGCTCACTTTCAGTGTGTTGACTGCAAGAGGTTGACGTTAGTGTGGCTTGACTGTACAGTGGCTGCCGTCGGTTTACTTACGGCGTGCACGTGCCTGTTGGTCGAGCACTTGGGAGAGAATTGAGTGCTTCATTTCCTCCTGAGCGCGCATCTGCTCCTGTTGGGCCTGTTGTTTTTCGGCATCGCTGCCGCCGCCGCCGCCCTGCATGAACAATTATAGGGTATATCGATTAGCGCATACCCTTTCCCTCACAGGTGTGCCGTGGGTATGCCGCCACAATAACAACAATAATGAGTCATGCATTGCTAAAAGCCAGCAAAAGCTGTTTGCATAGCATTGTGTCTTATGGTTTACGCTTTATGCAGCATCACAAGCTCATCATTTATTTTTATTTTATTTTATTTAAATTTTTTGTGTCTATTTTTGGCATTCGGCAGCGAGCGGCGTTTGCTTAGCACATTGTTTTCTACTTACAAATTGTGCCATACGCTTTGCGCGCAATTCATCCAAATCTCCATCCGACATATTTTTAAATTTAATGTATTTAAATTTATATATATAAAAAGTTATTTATTATAAAAAAATAAATAACCACAAACTTCGCTGTTCTCCGGTAGGCAGTGTATCGATACAATCGTCTCACTTTGACAAGACTAACTAATATATCGATAGTAGCGCTGCGGCAAATATCGATATATTGCATTGAACACGGTGAATGGTGCACTTAAAAGAAGAAGCAGACACAGATATAAACAAACAGCTGTGCAGACCAAAAATTTAATTCGTGCAAGAAAAATTTAATAAATTGCGTATAAGTTTTTATAAATTGTTTAAATATTGATGCGAAATGACTTCGCCACTGGAAAATTTGGAAACGCAACTGGAAATGTTCATCGAGAACGTGCGGCAAATACGCATAATTGTGAGCGATTTTCAGCCACAGGGTCAAAACGTACTGAATCAGAAAATGTAAGGAAATTTCGCGATTTGCCTAGATGTTGCTTTTAATACCTTTTTGAATTTGGTAAAATACAGCAACAGCTTGGTCACCGGCCTGCAGGAAATTGACAAATTGCGGCCACAGGTGCAGGATGTATATGTGCCCTTTGAGGTGTTCTTCGACTACATTGACCAGGACAAAAACCCCCAGCTGTACACAAAGGACTGTGTGGAAAAGGCGCTGGCCAAGAATGAGGAGGTGAAGGGCAAAATCGAGAGCTTGAAAAAGTTCAAAGCGAATCTGCTGCTGGAATTGTACAAGACATTTCCCACCGAGATGAACAACTACAGAGCCTACAGAAAAGACTCGATCTAAGAACTGCAAATTTTAGTTTTGTAAGCCTTAAAGTACTATACACATAAAAAAAATAATAATAAAATATAATTGCTACTCATGTATGTACTTAGAAATATGCGTTTTGTGTCCTGGGTTTATTTAGAACAAACATTTCGTCTAGTCCTAGCCGATTAAATAATATATATTTTTTGTTTAATCTAGAAATTGAGTTCGACTTAAATCGAAAGGGGTTGCGGGAAGGACAGGAACTGTGTTCTAAATTCAAAACGGGCATTTAGCAAATTTTTTTCCGAAGGCTCCAGTGGCGCAATTGGTTAGCGCACGGTACTTATAATCAGTAACTGTGTATGAGCAATGCCGGGGTTGTGAGTTCGAGCCTCACCTGGAGCAGCAAGCACAATTTGAGTGTTGCGTATTTTTTTTTTATTTACAAATATTTATATATATATGTGAATATATAAAAAATCGTTGACAATTGCTTTTTCGCGCTTGTATTAAATACCAAAGTTTATTTTGATTGTTGAATTGAATATGGGTAAAAACTGTTAACTGGGTCGCAGCGTTGCCAGATCGTCGTGCACAGCAGGCCAGCTGTTTATTGTTTTTGTGCGCTTGTGTAATTGATAAGAGCTTTGCATTTTATTATTTATCGCAAAATGCGGCGCACGTTTGCCATTTGCCGAACTGGTTTTAGTGGATTAAGTTATGCAAAAACGTTCAAAACGCATGCTGGAACTTATAGTCTGCCGACATGTGCGCGACATGCGTCATCGGCCTGCTGGAATTGCCAAAAGCTGGGCGAGCACATGATATGCGCGGAATGTGGCTGCCTTCAGGATGTGGATAATAGCACGGCAAGTAATTGCGCCAACTCACGGGCATGCATATTTAATTGTACCAACTCCCAACGCCAACCCATTAGAACTACTTCAAGCTGCTGAATTTTCCCGTCAAGTTTTCGCTGCAAACCCCGGAGCTGACGCAGCGCTTCCGGCAGCTGCAGGCGCAAGTGCATCCCGATAAATACAGCAACAAGTGAGTAACCGGATTCGTATATTGTTGACGCCCTAATTGCCATTAATGGGCCACCTAACCCGTAGGACTACCCGTGAGCAAACCAACTCCGCGGACTGGAGTTCGCTGGTCAACAAGGCATACAAAACGCTGTCGGTGCCATTGGAGCGCGGCCAGTATATGCTGCAGCTTGAGGGCGAGCAGATGCCGCAGGACAATAGCGCGCTTAACGCGACCTTTCTGATGGCCATGATGGAGCGCAACGAGGAGGTGGAGGAGGCGGCAGACAGCGACGCGTTGGACAAGCTAAGTGCGCAGTTAAGCCAGGAGCAGGAGGCAAAGGCACAAAAACTAACGGCACAATTCGAGGCAAACGATTTGGCGGCAGTTAAGCAAACGCTTGTGGAAATGAAATATTTGCAGAGCATACAAAGCAGCATTAAAAAGAAACAACAACAGCTGATGTCCAGCTGAGCATAATTATGCAAATCGATTAGTCGATCGTTCAATCGATAGGCAACCAACAGCAAGAAGCAGAGCAAAGCAAAGCAAAGCAAAGCAAAGGTGGCCACTGGCCACGGCGGGCCCCAAAACTGAAACGGCTGGCATCACCGGCAAAGACCTTCATATTTGCCTGCTTTAAAACAACGATCGATTCAAGCGAAAAAATGTAATGTGATTAAAGTTGGCATGTGATTGCACCTGCCGATACGCTTGCTGCTTAATTATTGTTGAAGTAATGACTCGCAGTTGTAAGGTGGTTATGGGCGGTTATCTGAAAAAGCGCCCCAACTAGTTTTTGCTGGCCAGCCTGTTCGGTCAGGGGACTTTAAGCACACGAGGGGGGAAAGGGGGGGGGGCGGTGAGCGAGAGGAACTTAACTCATTGGCCAAAAAAACAGATAAAATTCCCCGTATCGTGCACCCTGTACCGTGGGCAGTGACAAATCGTTGCGCTTGGTGATAATATTATAATCAGCTAACTGTGCGCCCTCCAACGAGTTCACACCCGCACACACTCTCGTAATTTTCACTTACACCTGTCGCTACACACACACACACACACACTTAGACACACACACTCGCGCGAGTCATTTGGCAAATATTTCTAGTGCAAATTGAATTTAAATTGAAAACGCTTCTTGTTTCGCAATGTCAGTGCTACTTAGTTCATCGACTGAGCCGCGCGCACAACCGCGAACTAGTCCAAGTAATAACAACAAACTGATCAAATGTTCAAGAGGATGCACACGCTCTGCCTGCGCCTGTGCCTGCTGCTGCTGCCGCTGGTGGCACCTGCTCTGGCCGATGTCAACGGCACGATATCGCCCATCATTGGCGTGCTGGCCCAAGAGATCTACCAGGATGGTTTAATATCCAAGCATTTCAATGCGACCAGCTACATTGCCGCCTCGTATGTCAAGTTCGTGGAGGGCGCCGGCGGTCGGGTGGTGCCCATCGGGTGAGTTATGCTTATCAGCGGAGACAGGTGCACTAAATCCAGTGTTTGATAAAGCGAGATTGCGCTTGTCTCAAGCGTTCTTCACAATGACCAGCAGTTTTGGCTTTGAATAATTTGTTGCACCTGTTCACAAATAGAATCGGACACAATCGCAGCTACTACGAGGAGCTGCTGCAGAAGATCAACGGGTATGTTGTTGCGGGCGAGCTGCGTTTGTTAACTCTGTTAATTATACGTGCATTTCCTCATGTAGTCTACTGCTGCCCGGCGGCGCAACCTTTTTTAATGAGACGAATGGCTATGGAGATGCCGGCGAGCATTTGATAGCGATTGCCAGGGAGCTCAACGATAATGGCACCTACTTTCCCGTTTGGGGCACATGTCTGGGAATGGAACTGCTGGTGCTTAAAATGGCCAATGGCACGGAGACGCGCAGCGATTGTCAGGCCATTAACATGGCCCTGCCCTTGGAGATGAAGCAGGGTAAGGAGGAGCTAGCCTGATAAAGGAAATAGGCTATATGGAAGTAGAGCATATATCGCTCATTTACATCGTATATCCCATTTCCGTAACGAAAGAGCGCCTTGGATGTTAATGTATTTCGTATTTCAACTCTTTAATAGACTACAATGAGAGTCGCCTGTTTGGCGGGGCCAGCGAGGAGATCATTTCGAAGCTGTCTCAGGAGAATGTTACCTATAACTATCATCGCTATTGCTACACGGAGCTGAGCTTTTCGGTGCCAGCTCTGGTTAACTCTTGGCGCATTATGTCCCTAAATCATGACGTGAATGGCATTGAGTTTGTGTCCACCATTGAGCACTTGAGCTATCCATTCTATGGCGTACAGTTTCATCCGGAGAAAGCGCTCTATGAGTTTGTCAGCAAGGATGTGCCGCACTCCTCATCGGCCGTGCAGAGTGCACAGTATTTTGCCGACTTTTTCATCAACGAGGCGCGTCGGAATCCGCATAGCTATGACAATGCCACAGATCAGGCGCTTTCCCTCATCTATAACTATAAGCCTGAATATACTTCAGTGCTGGGCTCCGGCTATGTGCAGCAATATCTGTTTGAGGATCCGGATATAGCCGGTGACGACGATGATGATGATGGCCCTTATCCCGTCTATCCCAATGACAATGGCGACAACGGTGTCGCATCGTGGTCTCTTGGATTTGGCCTTGGTGTCGCATTAGCTTTCAGAGTGTTCTTTGTGATAATGGCGCTTAGTTAAGATTAAAAGTTTCTAGTTCTTATTTGTGGTATACATGTGTATGCATAAAATGTATATATAAATGAAGAATAGCTTTTTTTTCAAATTTATTTTTAACTTCTTGTTTATCAGTCAAAAATAAACAATAGCTTTTTTTTTCAAATTTATTTTTAACTTGTTTATCAGTCATTAACTGACATTCGGCGCCACAAGATAAAATAGCCTTGAGGCTTAGGGGCTTGCAAACATGTGAATCGAATTGGAAAACGGGTTTGGTGAAAGAAGCGCTAAAAATAGAAATGTTTCTCACTCATTTTTTGGCCGATTCTTATAGAGGTTTATGATATAGCAAAAAGATGTTCATACGATTTGAGACTAATAATTGTCGGATGTGGTAAACTGATCTTCCAGTTTTTAAGTTATTATCTTACTAAATATTTCCAGACTCTAAATACATAAATCTCTATATATAAAACTGTTTGTCCTGACTGACTGACTGACTGACTGACTGACTGACTGACTGACTGATTGGTGATCAACGCACAGCCCAAACCGTAAGAGCTAGGAAGCTGAAATTTTCACTGTTATTACCTTATGTAATGTAGGTGCACGTTAAGACGGGGTTTCGGGAAATTCCTCTCGCAAGTGTGGAAAAATCGCGAAAAACGTTTGTATGTAACTTTTTTGTTTACCATCCGATCGGCCCCAAACTTATTTTCAAAGATCTTTGTTCAAATTCATTTGAGGGGTGTTTCGCACTTTTCGGAAAACCCATTCCTCCTTGGTGGAAATGGAGGTCAAAGATTTGGTGGGTGACGTTTCGCGCTCAAATTCATTTACAGTGAGCTATATGAAAAATCATTTGAGACGTGTTTCTCACTTTTCGCAGAATTCAAACTTCTTCGCGGGGAATGCGATTTAAAGATTTTTTGGGCGGCGTTTTAAGTTGTGTCCGATTGGGTTCAAACTTATTCTCAAAGCTCTACATAAGAACTTAATGAATACGTATTTCAGCGATTTTGGAAATTCCACCCGCAACAGTGGTAAATTGGCGGAAAAAGGTTGTATGAAAGTTTTTTGTTTACCATCCGATCGGCCCCAAATTCATGTTTAAATATCTATGTTTAAATTCATTTAAGGGGTGTTTCACACTTTTTGAAAAATCCATTCCTCCTTGGTGGAAATGGAGGTCAAAGATTTGGTGGGTGACGTTTCGCACTCAAATTCATTTCCTGAGATCTATTAGAAAAATCATTTGAGACGTGTTTCACACTTTTCGCAGAATTCAAACTTCTTCGTGGGGAATGCGATTTAAAGATTTTTTGTGCGAAGTTTTAAGTTGTTTCCGATTTGCTTCAAACTTATTTTCAAAGCTCTACATAAGAACTTAATGAATACGTATTTCGACGATTTGGAAAATTCCACCCGCAACAGTGGTAAATTGGCGGAAAACGGTTGTATGAAAGTTTTTTGTTTACCATCCGATCGGCCCCAAACTCATTTTCAAAGATCTATATTCAAATTCATTTGAGGGTTGTCTCATACTTTTTGAAAAATCCATCCCTCCTTGGTGCAAATGGGGGTCGAAGATTTGGTGGATGACGTTTTGTGTTCAAATTTATTTCCAAATATCTATAAGAAAGATCATTAGAGACGTGTTTCACATTTCTCGCAAAATCTAAGCTCCTTCGGTGGAAAATGCATTTCAAAGATTTTTTTGGTGAATTTTAAGAGTTTTCCGATTTGCATAAAAGTTGTTTGAATCCCGACCGATCAGTTTTAAAATCATTTTCAAAGCTTTTTTGATTTTATAACATACGTGCCACGGGTAAGGCCGGGTTATACCCGCTAGTATCATATAAATATCTACTATATATAAGTACTATATGAACAATCAGTTGAAAATTGATTTTTTTAATGCATTTATTTTGGTTAATTAATTGTTATTATCATTAACTTATCTCTACCAAAATCAGCGAAAATTCTCCCCTCTTCTTCTTGTGAAAAAAAGCTAGCAAAAAGGTTTTTTATTTTTCGATCGATCAGTTTTAAGCCCATTTTATTCGTGACTCGTTGGCCCACAAATCGCTCTTTTTTTCTCTGTCATATTTAATCTGAAATATTGCAATTATATTCCCTGAATATTCAACTTTAAAGTCTTCCTTTATAAGATATAAGTTGAACCCAATAAGGTTTCTTTCTTTTAAGGAATCCACAGTACAATATTTTAAAATTCTCTATTATATACAGCTTTATTCTTTAAAAGACCCCCCTAAAAATATGCTCTACATTTTTGAATTTCTCTCGGCAAAAAAATATATACCTGAACTTATTGAGGTAAAAAGGGTATGATGGGCTTGTGAAAACATCTGGTTTTAGGTCTAGCGTTAACTTTAGGTCTATCAATAACTTGCATCGTTCCCAATAAAAATTAATAATATTAAAAAACTCGGTAAATATCGATTTCGAAATCGCGATTTATAAGCCAATTTCGGACCTTATAAAAGCTAGGAATATCACAATTATGATGTAGATTCTCGGATCGAAAACTCTTTGGACACCTCTTCTTTTCTTAGTGCGTGTGTTTGTGTGCGTGTGTGCCGTTGTGTGTGTGTGTGTGTGTGTGTATGTATTTGTAGAATGAGAGTAGAATGCTTGAGACTGCAGCAGCGCAGTTTAGTTTTTGGCAGCATGTCAGCCAGTGCGGACGAGCTCAGATCGAACAGGGGCCAACCCTGCGTGGGGGTGATGTGCATGGATATGGCACAATCTTTGTCCTTTCTTTGTGGCCTGCACACAGGCTCCGATAAGGAAACAAGGTTATTTGATATATACGATTGCGAATGTTATTCTATATATCTGTGTCGTTTTATATTATTGCAGTTATCTGGCAGCCTCCTATCCCAAATGTGTGGAGGCGGCGGGAGCGTCGGTCGTTCCCATTTGGTGAGTTAACGACTTCGAATATATATTAGAATATGTATACATATCTGTATATCTCGCGCACCGACTTCCTGTTGTGTAGTTTTCACCAACCTTTGGAGCCGCTGAGCCCGGACAGACAGACGAACATGATGACTCAGTATTGTATTTGTGCCCAGATCAGATCAATGCCCAAGAATCAGTGGTAAAAATGCATTTTTGCGCCGTGCCGAACATAACTGTCTGCCGAACAAATGTCTGTCAAATCAAATAGCGAAACTTAAGAGCTTTAAACAGGGTATCTTTCAGTGAAGTGTTGAAAATGTGAGTTAAAAACAGGGTATAAGCTTGCGTTTTTAAACGTTCTTAGATGAGGTCTTGTGACCTTAAACGTTAGTATATAAAAATCTTAGAAGGGAATCGTTTTAATAAACCTGGCTTTATGAATCATTTTTGTATCACTGTCACATTCGATAAAAGATTTGAAAACAAAACACGCACGTTATTATACGGCAAATTATTATTATAAAATATCACGTACCCGCATTTTAAAATCGATTTTATTCTATTGCAAAAATGGAAATGCATGAAAATGATAAGCCGAGCAAAGAGCCGCAGCGGCAGCTAAATGTGCTGGGGCTGGGGCTGGGGCAAAGGCAGGAAGAGGGGCTGGGGCAGGGCGATCGGTTGGGGCAGTTGGAAGAGCATTCGCCCATTATCGGCGTCATGTGTATGGATTTGGCTCAATCGCTGAACGCACATTATGACCCTGGCCATTGGCAGAGTTATTTGCCGGCCTCCTATATCAGGCATCTGGAGGCATCGGGCGCATTGGTCATACCTATTTGGTGAGTGCACGCAAAAAATTAACAGGCAACAATGTTTATGTTACCTTGAACTGTATGGCACGAATGTTAGTGGGATGGAGCATGGGGGTACGGGATTGTTCAGATTTGCAATGCAGCTGGCAAAATGCCCATCACTTTCTATGCGAACCCAATTGCATCTGCGAAATTGTTTTTATACCCATTGAAATGGGTAGAAAGGGTATAATGTTTTTGATCAACTGTATGTAATAGATAGACGAAAGGGTCTCCTATCTCTTAAAGTATATATACATTCCTGATCAGCATCAATAGCTGAGTCAATAGTAATGTATATCTGTCAATCCGTCCGTCTGACCGTCTGTCCGTCTGTCTGTTTTTCCGATAATCGATAACTTGCCAAGTTTCCAAGCAATCGATAAAGCAATTTAAAATAGAGCAATTAAAGCCACAATTTAAATGCCGATATCTTTGTGAGATTATACGAATATTCTGTAGCATAATACGATCTATTGCTGAAAATTTCATCAGGATCGGTGAAGAAACACAGAAGTTGTTAAAGAAAAAGTATGTTGGCAGGCCACGTGTTTGGGGCAGCTAGTGCAAAGAGTAATAATTTCTGTATATATGTGCACACATACACACACATGCATACACACAGTAATAATTGTGTTAATTCAGTCGTCTTTCGTTGAGTCTCGCTTCTCTGGAGCATGGGTATGAGGCGGTGGCAATTAGTTCGGTTAGTTGAAGTTAGTTTCGAGTTCGAAACCGCAAAAAGGCGATCAATTTTTTTTGTTTTTTTTTTTATTAATTTTTTTATTATTAGTGCTTTGGCTAAGGAGCGCGAGGCGTGAGCTGCATTTGGTGTTGGTAGAGAACGATTCAGGGTATTTTCTAGTCGTGCACGCCCGCCTAGAGCCCTCTTAATTGTTTCATAATATTTGCATGTTTATTGTCTGGCGTTTTTCGATGCACAATTGATTTCTGTGTAGGATTGGCCGTGATCGTGCTTATTATGCGCAAATAATGAAACTGGTTAATGGTGTGCTGCTGCCCGGTGGCGCTGTCTATCTGGATGATGAGGACAAGCACGTAAAAAAGGATTCAAAATTGACAAACTTGTGTGTGCAGTCCATTCAGTATATTTATGAGCTAGCGCTGGAGCGTAACTTGGCGGGCAGCTACTTTCCCCTATGGGGCACTTGTCTCGGCTTTCAGCTGCTACTGAAAAGTGCGGCACGTGCGGCTGGTGCGCCAATTATGCGCGACAAGTGCGGCGATATATTCGATGCAAAGCCATTGCAACTGGAGCCGGGCTATGCGACATCCCGGATATTTGGCCAGCTATCGCCGGAGCAGGCCAAGCAGATGGAGAGCGTGCCATTTGCCTGTCATCAGCATAAGTTCTGCATCACGGAGGAGAGTCTGGCGAGCAGCAAGATGGACACCGATTGGCATGTGCTGGCCACGCGCACCTCGGAAGCGGGCATGCGCTTCATAACGCTCATCGAGCATCGTGTTCATCCCTTCTTTGGCTGTCAATTTCATCCGGAGCGTGCCGCCTTCGAGCAGCTCTTTGCCCGCAACGATGCCTGCCGCGATGCCCACACCAGGGCGGGCATCCAGCTGGCCCAGTACTTTGCCGAAGTCTTCGTCGATGCCTGTCGCCGCAATCCGAACAGATTCGCCAGCGTGGAGCAGCTGTCGCGTCACTTGATCCAAAACTGGCAGCCCGTATTTAGTGGTCAGTATAAGAATTCCAATTGGCGGGAGGTCTATCTCTTTCCCAAGGATGTGGACTATGTGCAACCAGTTGATAATTGAGCTATGGCAATTGATGATGATTGATGATTCTTTCCGGAAACATGAACACGAACGACAAACCCGATAAGACTCTTCTGATATTTCTATTTATAATATATACACAATATACAATCTACTTATATTCTATATATCTCATTATATATTTCACTATATATCTTACTATATATCTCACTATATCTCATTATATCTTACTTATATTATATCTTACATTATATATCTATTATCATACTTATTTGCCATGGAAAAGATAAGACTAAAATGTAATTCTTTGAAAATGTTTTTTTTTTTTTTATTGGTATCATACTCGTATTCTGGTGTCGTATTTAGATATAGGTCAAAATTTCCCACCCCCATAACTTCGTCAAATTTCATCAGAATTTCATGAGGTTTCGCTCTTTGCTCATGGCTTGGCCTCTAGATCAGTTTTTCATCTCAATCTGACAGCATTATTCCTGGTCGAAATTCATGTGAAAGTGGTACTCTCAAATATCCTATATAGAAATATGTCAAAATTTCCCTCCCCCATAACTTGGTCAAATCTTATCCGATTTTCATAAAGTTTGGCTTTTTGTTAATGGTTTGGCATCTAGATCAATCTGGCGTCTAAATCTGACAACATAATTTTTTAGTCGGAATTCATGTGAAAATGGTACCCTCAATATGCCATATAGACATAGGTCAAAATTTCCCACCCCCATAACTCGGTCAAATCTCATCAGATTTTCAAAAAGTTTGGCTTTTTGTTAATGGTTAAGCCTCTAAATAAATGTGGCATCTAAATCTCGCAACATTGTTTTTGGTCAAAATTCATGTTGAAATGGTACCCTCAAATATCTTATATAGACATAGGTCGAAATTTCCCTCCCCCATAACTTGGTCAAATCTTATCCGATTTTCAAAAAGTTTGGCTTTTTGTTAATGGTTAAGCCTCTTAATAAATGTGGCATCTAAATCTGACAACATAATTTTTTAGTCGGAATTCATGTCAAAATGCTACCCTCAAATATCCTATATGGACATAGGTCGAAATTTCCCACCCCCATAACTCGGTCAAAACTCAAACGATTTTCATAAAGTTTGGCTTTTTGTTCATGGTTTGGCATCTATATCAATCTGGCATCTAAATTTGACAACATCATTTTTGGTCGAGATTCATGTTGAAATGCTACCCTTAAATATCCTATATAGACATAGGTCAAAATTTCCCACCCGCACAACTCGGCCATAACTCAACCGACTTTCAAAAAGTTTGGCTTTTTGTTAATGGTTAAGCCTCTTAATAAATGTGGCATCTAAATCTGACAACATAATTATTGGTCGAAATTCATGTTGAAATGGTACCCTCAAATATCCTTAATGGACATAGGTCGAAATTTCCCACCCCCATAACTCGGTCAAAACTCAACCGATTTTCATAAAGTTTGGCTTTTTGTTCATGGTTTGGCATCTATATCAATCTGGCATCTAAATTTGACATAATTTTTGGTCGAGATTCATGTGAAAATAATATGTTAAAATATTCATCTTCATTTCAGATATCTATATTTTGCCTTATAAACTTAACATTTTGTACCAAGACCAGGGAACAGCAAGACGGACATTGCAAAATCAACGAAACTCATTTTACTCTTAGATATCTAACACAAAACTGTGTATATAAAATGTCTTGCAGATTTGCCATTTGATTTTGGTTATGATCAGCTAACTATATGCCAGCTTATGAGATTACTTTACTATGTGGCAAATCTAGTAAAATCAGTTTTATGTATGAAGAGATTTTTTCGATTACTTTTTCGCTTCTCACATGTTAGTTTCGTGTACTTTTCCACTTGGCTCTATTGTGCTCAGGGCGTGGCTGGGAGGCTTGTCTCTTGCTCAACCTCCCCCCGGAATGGCCCTGTGTAGTTGTGTTTCTAATTAGCCCGTTTCTGGTTCGTTCCTGGACTTTTGCGTTGCTTGCGTCTTATGCGCATTTGTCTGGCACGTGTTGTTGGCCAGCCTTCAGCTGGCCGCACCGCCCGTAACACCTGGTGGGGTTAAGGTTCAAATTGACGGGCAGAATAAAATAATTGTCGCCCGTCTGTGGCAACGTGTTATTGTGTTATTGCTGCGACCCATTGTTCTGGCTGTCCGGCCGTGGACGAGGATGAGGACGTGAACGAGACGCCATTGTCCGTTGTCGGACACGTATGTTGCGCTTTTTATATTCCTGCTCCTAAGTGCTCTGTCTCCACACGGTGCCGATAACGCCATCTACCGGCCAAGTCTGGCAAGCCGGACACGAGAAATCACTCAGGCGTCGCGTGACCCCCCGCCCCAAAAAAAATACATATATTTTTTTTTGGATGTGGCATTTGAAGCTTCATTTGTTGCGGTCAGCTTGTGTGCGTGTGTGTGTGTGTGTGTGTGTGTGTGTGTGTATTAGGCACTGCTCATTTAACCCATCTACTTATAGGCAGCCCAACGGCCGGCTTAAATGCCCTTGTGCCCATTCTGAGCACACACACAAGTAAGAAAGTAACTGCTGGCATACATTTATATATACTTTTAAATACACTCAAAGTAAGCCTCCACAAATACACACACATACTCACACACACACACGCACACAGCTAGCCTGCAAAAGGCCAAACCTCCGTTTTTAATGACGTCATAGGCGCTAGCTGCAAAAATTTGAGCACAGGCTGCCCCCTCTGCCTCCCGCTCAGCACGCTAGCTGCCCTTTAAACCTAGTTGGCGTGCATTGAACTGAGTTTCTCTCTCCCTCTCTCTCTCCCTCTCTCTCACTCGCACTCGCTCTCTCACACACACTTTTGCGCAGCGGCTGCGCTCTCTGCCGCATTTGCAGACTGCAGCTGCAACGGGCAATGACCTGCCTGCTGCAAGGTTATTGCAGTCGCAGTCACACACACACACACACACACACACACACACACACACACACACACACACATACAGACAGAGACACACACACACACTTCCGCCGGCACACACTTGCTTAACACTTTAGCCCGGTTATGCGACAATAATAAATTTGCTGCAGCCTTTTTACCACACACACCCCCCTTCCTGCTTCCACACCCGCCCCAAAGATGTGGCCCAATGTGTGCATCTGCTTCACATTGTCGCATTTGGCATTTAACTGCAGTTGAAGGATGCACAAAGTACGTGCTGACTCCCAGTGCCTGCGCCTCTGCAGTTACGCCTCTTTCCCAAGGCTGCTTCAAAGCGGAAGCCAATTGTAAATCGAAACTCTTCAACCCCAAAGTTGATCTCGAAAGTTCCTTAGAGCCGAGAAATTTCCTGGCTTAATAATATATGGAACGCCTTGAAGCATGTTTTGCAGGAGGCAGCTCTGAGCCTGTAACTTATGCACATACTTAATCAAAATGTATTTGTAATCGAGCCTAGATCCAGATATGTGCTTCTCTTCTCTTTACCTCAACAGACAGAAGATTATATATACAAACATTCAGCCCCGGCTTTTAAGCACGCCGTAATAGCTAGGTACACTTAAAGAATTATAGTATAAGTATTTGTTTGCATACACAGATTCAATTTGTACCACATGCCCCCCTTCCCCATAAAAACGAGTAAATATGTCGGCTCTTCACTAGGAACATTGCAACCGGCTGTTTAAAGTATGTACTTAATATTCATTAATCGGAATAATTGTAATTAACCTGTGAGTGCTTCACGACACGTCAGCAATGTGTGCAGGTGGCGGGTGCACTGCGCCGGTCTCTGTGAGCATTTGCGGTTGAGAGAGAGATGCTGCAATTGCTCTGCAGCTCGTTGATTGCGTTGCCATTAAAAAAAAAAAATAAACACTTCTTGAGGTTGGTCAGGTAGGGCACAAGCAGATTCACATTGAGGCTGGTCAGGTTGAGAGGTTGCAAGATATATCTCAAGATACGAACGAATGGAGGATTGCAGCTCATTAATGAGCTTGGACTTATTATTATTGTAATTCAAGTTATGCGAAAGCCTCAAGTTGAGATTGGCCTGAGGGGAAGAAGGGAGGGGAAGGAGCCTAAGCTCAAAAAAAAAAAAATATATAAATATCATTATGATAATGAATATAATTTCTTATCATTATGATAACTATTATTATTAATTTTATTTTAATAATTATAATTAGTTATTAAACTAAATCCAATTCAATATCCATACATGAGCCAAAGATTCGAACCCGTTTCCTCGTCTATATATCATTTGCCCTTTTTTTACTCCGCTCTTTGCTTCAATTCCGCCACAAAATTCCGTTGCCTACTTTTAAGGGCTCGCAGTTTTTCACTTAAATCCCTTGCTGTTTATTGTTATTTTACGTTTTGGTGACAAGCCAGTTCGCGGGGTTAAAATTAGCCTGACATTTAGTTGTGTGAGTGTGTGTGCGTGTGACGTCACACACACACACATAGACCGTTAGAAGGTCAATACGTACGACACAGTACAAAAGCAGCGTGATTTGCAGCCACCATATTTAGGTTAAGCCCAACTCTCGAGCGGAAATCTCTGCTGGCTTAGGTTCTGCGGTTCGGCGCCCCTAATGTGACTCGCCCCCACCCCCACCCCCCGTCGCAGCCTACTGGTAAAGGGGCAAATTAATCAGCGCGCCGAGTGTTAGTTTGTTTTGGGTCAAGTGTGTTGTGGCTTGAGCTGCCGTTTTGACCTTTGGCATAGTTGCTGCCGCTGCCGGCCGTGTCGCATCCTTTGGCCTCACTTTTGTTGCAATTGTTCGCGTTCAGCTGGGACAAGGTTGCCACGGCGCAGCCTCTTGCGATTCTGCTGTGCATTCAAATTAGTCGCTGGCACTATTTATAAGCCGAGGCGCCACGTTCATAAGCGTGTGCAAAGGGCCGTAAATTGCATTCGACTCGAGCTGGCCAATAGCTAGATTATGCAAGCCACGCGTTCGTTTTGCAAAATTCATTCGGGCACCTTTTGTTTCGGTGTTTATTAATAAAGTGCTCTGCGGCATGTGGCAGGGCATGTGGCAGGGCATGTGGCAGGGCATGTGGCAGGGCATGTGCAACTAATGCATGTATAAATAAACCATAAACCATTGACAAAGCTGCGGCGGCGTCGGCGGCGTCCCATGCACACATTTATATGTTTATTCAATTACGTATGCGTCGTACGTGACGTATACGTAATGTATTTTAAGCATTATTTCAATTTGTTGTGTGTGCGTGTGTTTGAGATGC